GATATAATGCATGCTGCCTGGACGCAGGATGAAAAATTGCGTAGGGATCAGAAAGCCGAATCTCAAATTCATCTACATCTCTCGAATCAAATTCTTCAGGATGTTCTTAAGGAGAATAGTGTCGCTGCGTTGTGGTTGAAGTTGGAGCAACTTTGCATGATAATGAGTTGACTAGCAAGCTGCACTAGAAACATCATTTGTATTCTCACCGGATGTATGAAGTACGTCACTGGATGATCACTTACAATGTTCAAAGAAATCGTAGCTGATTTGGAGACACTAGAGGTTAAGTATGACGAGGAGACTTGACTTTGATGCTGTTGTGTTCCCTGCCATCATCATATGTAACTTTTAGAGATACTATTCTCTATAGTCGGGATACTCTTACAGTGAAAGAGATCTATGATACTTTACTATCTAAGAAGAAGATGAGGCATCTTGTTGGAGGATTTGGAAATCATACTGAATGCTTGGTTATGCGTGGGAGAAATCAAGATATGAATTTTGGCAAAAATATGAGGGGCAGATCAAAGTCTAAACATGCTGAGAAGAAGGGACATATCAGAGTAGAAATATAGAAATATAGTTGTTGGTGCTACAGAGAAAGTAAAGCAACATGTTAATACAGTGGAGACTGATGTTGTGGAAGATGACCAAAGTAGTTGAGAGTTTCTTGTGAGTTCTTATAGGGATTTTAAACATTGTGATGAATAGGTTCTTAACTCGACTTGTACTTTTCATATGTATCCTAACATGGACTAATTTTCTACATATGAAGGAGTTTCGAAAGGTGCTGTGATTATGGGAAACAACACACCTTACAAAATTGTCGAAATTGGTACAGTCAGAATCAAAATGTTCGATGGAGCTGTTAGAACACTTACAGATGTAAGACATATTCTAGAAGTGAAACAGAATCTCATATCTCTAAGTGCATTTGACTCAAAGAGCTACAAATATATTAGTGAATGTGGAGTTGTGGAGGTGAGCAGGGTGCTCTTGTTGTCATGAAGGGGCATAAAAACTCTACACAGTGATACATTTTGCACGATTCCACAGTGATTGAGGGTGCAGCAGTTTCTACTTCTTCTTTGATAGATGATGAAGTTACAAAATTTTGGCATATGAATGAGAATGGGATGACGAAGCTGAGTAGAATGGGACTTCTTGATGGGTAGAAAACCAACAAAATAGAGTTTTGTAAGTATTGTGTCTTTGAAAAATAGAAGAAAGTCAAATTTACTAAAGGAAGATACAACACGAAGGGAACACTGGAATATATTCATTCATATCTTTGGGAACCAGTCATAGTACCGTCTAAAGGTGGCTACTATTACTTGTTGACAGTAACTGATAACTTCTCCAAGAAAATTTGGGTATTTTTCTGGAAGAAGAAAAATGATGTGTTTGAGACCTTCAAAGAATAGAAAACATTAGTAGAGAAGTAGATCGGAAAACAAGTGAAATGTCTACGCACTGATAATGGATTAGAGTTTTGTTCAGATGAATTCAATAGCTTTTGTAGGGTTGAAAACATCTTGAGACACTTGACAGTGTCTGAAACTCCTCAACAGAATGATGTGGTAGAATGGATGAATAGAACCTTGATGGAAAAAGTTCGTTGTATGCTTTAAATTTTAGGTTGCCTAAGTCTTTTGGCTGAAACTACTACTACAACTTGTTTTCTAATTAATCTTTCACCCTCAGTTGACATTGATAAAAACACGACAAAAGACATATTGTCTAGTAAACCTTCTTGCTATTTTGGTTTGAAAATTTTTTGATGTCCGACTTATACTCATGTGGATAATGGGAAGTTGGAGCCTAAGTCTAGAAAGTGCATTTTTCTTGGGTATAAATCAGATGTGAAGGGGTATAAATTGTAGTATCTTGAGACTAAAAAGGTGTTTTTAGTAAGAACTTAGTATTTGATGAACTTGCT